TAAAGGATTCTATGATTCTACGAAAAGCACACAAGAATAATACTTCAGTATTTCCACATTTTCGCTGTAATTAAAAAGGAGAGAACCATTTAAAGTTAACTATGACAACTAGGCATGAATCATACCCTTGAAGAGGCAAAAGAGTAATTAAAATGAAAAAGACTTACTTATTCCATGCTTGTCTAAGGTTTTTAGGGCTGTACTGTGTAAACCGTTCTGTAAGAAAAAGAAGAGGCACATTCAATTATTTACGCTAAAAACAGGATTTTAAAATCAAATATATTTATCTGCTTTCAGTTTTCATCATTTCTATGCAACCAGTGCAGCTCAAGTCCCAAGACAGGGCAAGAAAACCACCATAGGAGCAACTGCCATACAAACAGGGAGAAAAAAAAACCCAACCCAAACCAACCCCCCCAAGAGACCTCAACTTGTTAAAAAAACCCAGAAGAAGTCATCATAACCTAAAGCTGACTCAGTGCTGTACCACCAGAAATGGAATTTTTTACAAAAGAAGCTATTTTAATTCGTCACAAACACAATTCTCTGTCGCCTCACTGTCATGTTTTTATGCTTCCCTGGAGGCATAAGTGTGGGTCCATGTGACACAGAGAGACGTGCAAAACATGATGGTCACGTAAGAGTCCATTTTCTAAAGAACATATATAAATAATGAGCAGAAGCGACAAGTACAATGACAGCTTATTTACTCAAACATTTAAGTTCTTAAGTTCAGATAGAAGTACTTTCCCTCTCATATCCAAGATGCTGCAGTAGGACTCTGGCTGGCAGAGGAAGATGCTACAAAAACTGCTGCAGAAGTGAAGAGCCAGTACTCAGAGCCCTTTTAACAGGAGCTAAAGTGCCTCTCAGGAAGAAACAAATGCAATCCATCTGGAGAATATAACATTTTCCATGAAGCCTCATCATACTGAAATCCTACCATGTAGACTGGTGATTACCTTGGCCAACTACCCTAGTGTGATGGCATTAGTTGGTGTGAAGAAGTCCTAAACTTGCGAAAAGCTCCATTAAACTTCAAATTCTAATTTTGCTTCCTCTCCACCCTTGAGCATGACATTTAATAGGCACGCCGTACAATTATGACAGCATTTTATGTATGTACATGCACACACACATATGCACATGTCTTATGCTACAAAACAACTGTAAATGTAGCATCAGGAGGGTTGTCTTCAAATTCCAGTCTTTGTGTACTTTGCTTATGTCAGTTCTAAAGATGCTAAGACTATGGCACATACAAAATCCTAGCATCAGCGTGGATGAGTTTGTCTGTTTATATTTTCAGAGTTTTATTGCCTTTGACTAAAGAGATGCATGTGGAAACTTCAACTCTCGTTGACTTCATTACCAGACGTTTCTGTGAGTGCTAGACCTGCAAACTGTGCCTGAGGGCTCCTTCACATTTACAAATTTTGTGGCTTTAACCATACTGATGCAGTTAAAACAACAAAATCACTCCCTCTTAGGTACATATGACAAGTGTACTGGAAACTACATAACTAGTTTTAGCACCAAAATAAATTATAGATATCACTTACATAATACTGTATGTGAATTTATTCAAATAACTTTCGCAGCAAAAAACACCAAATGCTAACTACACAGTCATACTGTTCAAGGCTTTTAGATGTAGACGAACACATGAAACAAATGTTTGAAACGTTTTTTTGTATTTGGTGGTGGTGGTGGGTTTGTATTACCAACATAAAGTTTCTGTATTTGGAAAATATTTTACTACTGTAGATAACCATTAAAGTAGCACCTATTTGACTTCTCTGTCAGAACAAAGCTAAGAAAAGAGACAACACTCTGCAGCTCTCAAATGTGCTATCATTACACAGCTCTCAACAAACTAAAATTATTAGTTCGAATTTTTATGAAGTATGTTATACAGTGTTATGAACCTTAATTTGTTGTTAGGATTAGGATATTGTAAGAAAGAAATTATAGGTCATGTGTTACATTTCATTATGAGCAAATATATTGCTCCATAAATATATCTCCCCAAATGAAATAAATTTACTGATGATTTTGTGCACATTTCTTAACATATTTTAACTCGTTTCTGATATGTCTCACTGTTGAAAATGCTACCATATTACTTACTGTGAACCTGAGAAGCATTTAGATTTAATACCACACTACTGACATTATCCTGAATTTTGTAAATCAGAAGCTCTGCGGTACTTTCCAATTACTGATAAAGTCAGTTATGCCAGGCTCTTAGCAGCTTGGATGCTATAAAAAGGAAAAGCAATTTAAACCATTGTGCTAGTTTTTTTTATTTTCTGTTAAATCTTGATACCACAACGAGTGCAGAACATAAGGGGAAAAAAAGAAGTTGCTGGGTATGTTCTTACTGAGAGCAGCAATCAAAGAGATTTCCTTACAATTTTCTGTGTGCGCATATTACAACAAAATAACTTCTCACACCTGAGACATCCAGATTAAAACTATAGGAAATGCCAGTTTCTTTTTGCATGAAATGCATCTACTACAAACATTCCAGTGCCCCAAGGCAGGTCTTTTAATCAAATGGGCAAAGTAGTCAGGATCATTATTAGATGCAGCCGTGGTTCAGCACCAGTAGCATGCACTGGAATCAGTGCCTGGGATTATGTTTTAATATCCAACAGCACAAATAAAATCTCAGTACCAAAGTACATGCTCTGTACTAAGCAGTTCAAGCATTGTACTGGCATTGAGAGCATATCCCAAACTTAGGAGGGAACATTACGATTACATTACAATTCAAATTGTACCTAATGTTTAGTAATCCAGCTTCTGCTCTCCAGAGGAAAAGCCTCAGCTCCAGTAAGGTTAATAGACAAGTTGCATGGGCCTGAGTTCACCCTTAAATTTAATTTTGCAAACATCAGCTAAAAACACATACGCAAGCAGATACCTACCCATAAAAACTGGAAGAAAAGAAAGACTTTCTATGCTTTGTAAGTAAATATCCAACCATAACACTGTCCATTCATTTATGACAAAGGACTGAAAAATAAGATGCAGCTAGACAGTGCTGTGTAACAAGAAGTCTGAGATACACACGGGACTTCAGCTAATAAAGTGCAGATTTGCCCATTAATCTATTTTGGTGAAGAAAAGTGCTGGGTGGGAAGAGAACTGAACAGACTTAAAGCATTGCTGAAAAGCTAACCTAGACCTGGGGAAAGACAGATTTTTAGTTTATCTATCATTCTGCAATATGTTTTGGTCAGATACCGAGCTGGTTCAAATTGGCACAGCAACACTGACTTCAGCAGAGCTACATGCACATAAAACAGTTGAGAAGTATCATATACAACATATTTTCTTGACTGGACCGTCAAGAGGCTTTATTTAATCAATTTAAGCTATTTGCACTGTAGGAGGAAAAGAGAGTCAATCACTTGGCCAAACTGCCTTAAGGCCTTAACGTCCAAAGTTCTGTTCCAGTTCTTCAAGAAACTGAAAAACTATTGCTATGCCAGACTAATTTTTATTGAAAAAGTGATACACTGGAACTGGTTACATAAATGCTGTTATAAAGGACACGCATAAACAAAATTAACAAACTTCTCAAAGGGATCTTCCTTTTATGTCAGTCTACTGCTCTGCTCTAAACCTCTTTTTAAATAAGTACCTTATACACCATATTGATCAGGCAGGTAGAGGGAGAACTAGGAGGCAAACATGGAGAAGTTGAAACCCTGCCTATAGTATAGAAGCAAATGTTTTGTCCCAAGTTCGTAACTTCAAACTCAATTTATATGCTGTGTGACTGCAGACCATGCATCTCCTAACTAGTGGTAGCAACTCTCCCCTCTACTCCACGCAGATTAGAGGCTCCCTACTTTAAATTCTTTACAAGGAAGGAAACCACATATTGATAAAATACAGCTCACATTTTTCTACACAATTTTATGGTCATGCCTCCAACCAGAGCCTTGTTAACTTTCATGGACAGCATAACTAGATGGGACTACTCCCATCTAGTGGGAATAACTTGGTAATTAAACCCAGACTCATGCACGTGCCAGTTCTTAGGACTTTCCTGAATTAATCCTTCTTTAGAGAATAAAAAGCAGAATAAAAAAACCAGCTAATTTTGATTTCAGATTTGCCAAAACAGAGAAGCCACAATAATCACATCCTTGAGCTTCTTCATCATGATCCAGTTTAAGTCCTGAACTGTGAAACCACAATATTACATTCCTACAAACACCAATCTTGCAGTCACAACACAGGCAAAAATAAAGTTAATTTCTCAACTTTTACCTGAGGATCTCCTGCTTCCTCAGTTTCACAGTTAAATCCCCAAGGTTGCTTCTGAGTTACTTTTCAGAATGAACAACTCTCACATACCTGTATGAATGCCTCTGTCCTTTATTGCTAGATGGGTTTATTACAACCAAAGCCAAAACTACACATATCTGGCTGTGACCAACTGCATGAAATTACATTCTACTATACTTCCAAGCATATACCTTTGGATTTTGTTTCTCAGATGCTCCCATTGATTTGATCATAAAAAATAGTATGAGTCAGATCTTGAGTGTATGTGAGATCCTAGGAATACTGCAGAATTACCACTGGTGTTCCCCCTTCAAAGAAATCTTTGCCTAACATACATTAGGAAAAGCAGCAGCATTGGTGACCCCAACCTTGATTCAACCTTTTGGAAGAAACCTGGTGTAGCGAAAACTTACTACCCCTCCTGCAGAACTGAAAGGCAAGCAGACACATGAGAATTTAATGCAGGTGGTCATATCAACACCCACCCACACAACTATCATCCAGTGCATGCAAGCTGCTGTCAAGAACATGAGGCATCCTCTCTTGCTGAGGCAGCTCTCCTCAGTACTGAGATTAAAGAAATCTAAAAACTACATCTACAGATTAAAATTTAATCTCAGATGTATTTTTAGTTTTTATAGTTCAAATTGTCAGTATACATACTAGAGTTCAAATCCTTTCAGATTATTATTGTTAAATGTCCTTATTTTTAATAAAAACACTGAGGGACCAACACAGTAATCTCGTCCGATACTTAAAGTAAAAAGTGTGATTTTAATTTCCTTTAAGTGTTTGCATATTTGACAGTCTTTTAGGAACAAATTTAGGAAACAAAATTTGATGCTGAGCATTTTAATCTCAAATACACAGTCATCATCCTCACTAGCAGCCAGGTCTCAGTGTTAAAAAGA